TCCCTGGGGTCCCTCCTTAATGGTTAAAGCCAGTTGGTCCCTTTCAATAATCTTCAATATGTTTTTAGCTATAGAGTATCTAAAATAAAAATTTGGCACCCTCTACTTAAATGTCCACAAGACACAAAACTCCCTTTACTTTCACATTTTTAACTGTGACATCCATGGAAACACATGCCAACACCATCTCTACCACAGATGGGGATGGTGAACATTTCTGAGATGCCACTTTGGACTTGTTTTGGAGGTTGGAGCGTAGGGAGGTAGAAGGGACTTTGAACAGGGCTTAGGAACTTAGGCCACTTCCTAAGTAAAGGGGTTTCTGTATGTGATGCTGACATTGCAATTTTAAAAGCAATTTCATCTGAAAAAAAGAAAGAAAAAAAAAACAGCAACAAGGTGTAAACTATATGTTGATTATGACCTATTTGAAAGAAGAATGTGTTTTTGCATTTGCATATGAATAAAATTTTTTTGGATAGATAATGTGAAAAAAAATCCTCAAGTTCTGGAGGAAGATACACACGCAACACAATTTTGTTTCACTGCATAGTATGCACAAGGGAGGAGTCCTGGATTTGTAGTTTAAAAATACGCTGGGTCAGTGAATCACTTGGCCCTTCTTTGCCTCATCTGTGAAATCCAGAAGTAAGAATGTACCCGCTAAAAGTCAAGGTCATCCCTAGAGAGATTTTAGAAACACACTGAACTGTGACTCTCTGACATATGGCCATCTGTGACTTTGGCCGCATGAATGATCTTGCATGGGTTTGATCGTGAATAACCTAATGGGTGCAGAGGAGGAACCAGTCCTGGGTCCCAGGATGGAATTCTAGTGTCTTCACAGAGTGACTCTTCATCTCTCACATTTATCCTTCCCTCCAGCCAAACTGGTCTGTGCTCCTGAGGCTCTGCTCTTGCCAAGAGAAAGACTCTTACCGTTTCCTTACCACTTGAAAGTTTCTCCAACTTCTGAGTGTCCCACAAGCATTTGGCAGTCATTTTCTTCTCAAGAAGAAATTATCTTTTATATTGCTACTTAGGCCCTTAGCGGTTTTTTTTACTATGTTTATCTGAGTATCTGAAAAGATAAACAAGATTTGTTCTCTCAAGTGTCTTACATCTACCCATTAGTTCTAATAGACAGTTACTATCTTGCTGTTTAAATTATTGTTCTATAAATTTCTCTCTCCTAACCATTTCCCACCAAATGCATTGGTCTTAATTTCTTCTAGTAGACTTGGTATAAAGTCAGTCTCTCTACCTCTGTCATTACACTGGCCTTTGAATGGTATGAGGGAATGTTTTAAAATTTCTTTTCTCTTTGTCCAATCTTTTTTCTCTAATGGAAGTGATAATTAGCAGTGAAATGGTTTAAAAATGATGATGGCTTACTATCATTTTTATCTATTGAGTACTTATTTTGTGCTACGAAACAAGTTAAAGTTCTTTACATACATGAATTCATTTAATTATCAGGATAGCCCTATAACATACATTCTTTTATTATCCCATGTATAGTTAAGGAAACAGAAGAACAAGAGAAGTAACTTGTCAGAAGTTACATACTAGAAAATTACAGATGTCAGAGTTGGACTCCAGTGGACTCCATTCATTGCATTATCTTGTTCTTGAAAGATGGGTAGTAGTGCAAAGGAGTAGAAACAATTGTCCTGGATAAACTCCCATTTGTCCTCAATACCCAGACATTTTTCAGAATATCTGGGAAATATTCTGGACCGAGATTAGGGAAGCAGAGCCAAAAGAAAGTGGGGGGCTGCACAATTGCTTTGTGAATGTATAAACCTGAAGAGTACAACTAAGTCATGGTGTTCTTTTGTCCTTGACCATGTACGTTTTTACTAAGAAGACTAGCAATAATAAAGCCCTACTCACTGTTTTTCAGAATCAAACTCTGAAAATTCATCTTGTGGGCATGTTTGCATATTTTGTCTCTGCTTATAAAAACCAAGTTAATGGTTTTACAGTTTTTATTTTCACGGAGCAGAAAAAAAATCTGTTGATTTACTAACAGATAAGCATAAGAAATACACTTTCTTATTTATATGAAGCTATGCACTATTCACACATTAATATGTCAAACCTCAGATTTTTATTTTGCCCAATGGGAAACTATGAACAATGAGATTTCTTATGTAAAAAGTAAACACTTGAAGTATGTTAGTTCTACATGACTTTACTAGCAATCCAGAGACTTACCCTTTCAACTTGATTTGATTTCTGCAGGATAATTTTTCAGGAGAAGTAGTTTTCTGATCTGTGGAGCTTGGAAATATAAAGAAATAAGCAACTTCTCATATTCATTAATCAGATGCCAGTTTCCTTAATAATTTATTTTAAAGGTGATCTCCAGTAAGGCACTAGTTCTTAGACTTTAGTGTGATAAGAATCACCTGGGGAACTAATCAAAATGCAGGTTCCTATGTCTCATCCTCTGAGACTGGGTCACTTCCCAGGTTATGCTGATACAGATGTCCTCTGGGTACCAGACCAGGATGAAGGGGAGGATGTGGAGCAGGGAGTGGAGGAGCTTAGTACTCTAGTGATCAAGGCACAGAAGTGCTAGAATGCAGATGGGCTTTTCATCAGGGCTATTTAGGGAGCTGGCTGAATTCCTCTTATTGTTGTTTAGTTGCTAAGTCGTGTCTGATTCTTTTGCAACCTCATGGACTGTAGCCTGCCAGGCTCTGAAGTCTAGCCTCCAGGTAACAACTTCAATAGAAGGCTATTCAAATCCAGCTTGCCAACTTTGGTGAAAATACTGATCTCCTCTGTCACAATATTCTTAAGGTTTGAGGGAGAAGGAAATTAGTCTGCAGATGGCTGTGTTCACTGTAAGCACCTGGGGTGGGACTAGGTCAGAAGGCAGAGGTGAGGAGGGAGAGACATGGAGGTCTTACCACAGTCCTAAAGGCTAGGTTCCCAACTTGCAGGCTGCGCATTAAGAGAGGGACATGGAGTTACTGAAAGGAGGAAAATGTGTTGTGTGGGTTCAATCAAGAGAGATGATCCTCTTCTTATTTGAAGGATCTAATTAATACAGGACCCCAGGCCTGCATCTGTTGACTTGGCCCATGGAGGTGGGAAGAACTCTGCATGACTGGAAGGTGGAATTATTTTGTTCATAAGAGATAAGAGCAAGAAAAAATCCAACAAGAGCAGGTCTTATGTGGAATAGGGGCCAAAGGGAGTGCCTCTGTCACTATACACACACACACAGACACACACACACACCCAGGAGACCCACCAGTGAACCTAGAGGCAAAGAGAAATGTCTAAGGATTCCAGGTAGTTTCTGTGAGATGGGTGCTGCAAATCCTTTTCCTCTGTCTCAAATGGAGAGATATTCAGTATATGTCTCACCAATACTTAAATAAGAAGTTTCTTCTTTGGGGAGGAATTCATAGACGAAAATAAGATGGCAGCAGCTTTCTGATGTTCCATATATGTGCCTTAAGGAGTATCTTAGATATAATCCAATAAGTCATTTGTTTTTCAAGTATATGAACTGTGCTACAGTTTTTCAAATATAACCCTGCAAATATTGTGAATGATAAAATTTGAAAGCATTTTTAAAAGAATTTTTGAATTCACAGTAGATTTTGATTTTGATGTTGGATTTTCTCGGTCATTTTCATGGTTGAGTCTGAGGAATTTTTGACTTTAAAAAGGAGTTCCTCATAGCCAAGACATGGAAGGAGCCCCAGTGTCCACCAACAGATAAATGGATAAGGAAAATGCAGTATATACAACCAATGGAAAGCTACTTGGTCATAAAAAAGAAGGAAATAATGCCATTTGCAGCAACATGGATGGACCTGGATATTATCATACTAACTGAAGTAAACCAGAAAGAGAAATACAAATGCCATATGGTATCACTTACATGTGAAATCTAAAATGTGATACAAATGAACTTATTTACAAAGTAGAAACAGACTCACAGGCATAGAAAACAGTTACCACAGGAAAAAGGAAAAGTGGAGAGAGACAAATTAGGAGTTTGGGATTATCAGATACAAACTACTATATATAATGTGGATAAACAACAAGGTCCTAATGTACAGCACAAGGAATTATACTCAATATCCTATAATCATCCATAATGAAAAATTATATATATATGGATATATGCATGTGTGATTGCTAAGTCATTTCAGTCATGTCTAACTCTGTGCGACCCTATAGACTGTAGGCTGCCAGGCTCTTCTGTCCATGGGATTCTCCAGACAAAAATACTGGAGTGGGTTACCATGCCCTCCTCCAGGAGATTTTCCCCACCCAGGGACTGAACTCATGATGTCTCCTGCATCTACAGCATTGCAGGTGGTTTCTTTACCACTGAGTCACCGGGGAAGCCCATATACATATGTGTGTGTGTGTGTGTGTGTGTGTGTGTGTGTCTGCCTGCAACGTGGGAGACCAGTGTTCGATCCCTGGGTTGGGAAGATTGCCTGGAGGAGGGCATGGCAACCCACTCCAGTATTCGTGCCTGGAGAATCCCCATGGACAGAGAAGCCTGGTGGGCTACAGTCCATGGGGTTGCAAAGAGCTGGACATGACTGAGCGACTAAGCATCGCACAGCATATGTATATATATACACATACATAGCATTTTTCTGTACACCAGAAACTAACATAACATTGTAAATCCACTATACGTCAATAAAAAGGGTTCCTCATATTTAAAGTTGGTAGAACTTTAAACTGGACTGTAAAGTACTTCTCAAGTAATGCAAAATTCTGTGCAATGACTCTGTCGCCATTTACGATGTATTTTTTTAAAGAGTAAAGGTAAACTGCATTTTGTTCTGGTCATTTGGTAGCACTGAATAAATATAGAGGGGGTATTGATCAGGCACATTTACTTACAAAACTGTCACATTATTTGACTTTGTAATTGACTGAACAGAAAGTCTATCTGTTGCTTAGGAAGAACATGCATATCCGGACACACTGATTCTACTTCATTTCCCCAGGCTCTGTTATGTGGTCTACTTGTTACATGTCCTGAGGATCCTCTGAGGTATTTAGAGGAAATGATCATTGGAATAATGGAAAACGGTCTTGAAACTCTACTCTGGTGAGTAATGTTTTGATTAATGGTAGGGAGATATTTTATTTTGAAGATAAAACACTCATTGTATAGTATCCAAAGACATGTTGCAAATGAATGTTTTCAATCTTAAGATTATTAAAGAATCTTTGCATGGGCTTTTAAGTCCCCTAAACTTCAAAAGTAATAATTTCTCCACTGGTTCCTAAATCAGAAACATAGCACACTGTTATCAAGAATGTGTGCTCATAGGGCAGTTTATTTCAACTTGAGGATGAGGACAGAGGCATCCCTTCTTGGGGAGCTCAGCAGAATTGTGAGGGGGAGTAATTTGAAAAAGTTCTCCAGGTGATTCTGACATGTTTCTCCCAAGGGGAACTGTTTTTCCTTCCCTTCCCCTCCACTCTTTAAAATCACAGATTTAATTATGGAATTAACAATTATGAATTGAAATGATTTTTTTTACTACATCTTATGATTTTATTAAAGGGATATGTGCGTTGATCCATTAATGAAACCAAAAATTCGGAGACTGTCTCAAACTTACCTGGAACAACTTTTTGGACTGGATGATCAGCTGGTAAGTATTATTCACCAAACATTCTACATTATATGTCTTAAGTTTGGATGGGAGCTCTCAAATAGATTTTAGATTTCATGAGAGGTATGAGGTCAAATTGTTTCTGAAATTGAGGACACTTAGGAAAATGAAGGAACATTTCATACATATATACAGACACACACACAAAGCAACACTCATAGTAACCTCCCCAAATTTCCAAGAAGCATTTGGATAGGCAGTTATTATTCATCTTTCTGATAAAATCTTCCCATTAAAATCCCCCTTTTTCCTTCTGCCCCTCTCTTGCATCTTTACAATGGAAAAAAAAATAGCATTATGGAAAGCTTTAAAGGAGAAGTTTCTTTCCGTTCTAATCTACTTCCTCTGTATTCCATCCCCCTCCATTTTCTTTGCTGTCTGTCCAGGAATTATGCTACAAAGATATAGCTGAAACATTAATAAGACCTAACTTAAAAGCGAGACCAACTTAATGAGAGGAACAACCAGCTCCAACAGTTGGTTTTGACCCTGTAAAGAGGGCAAGGAAGTACTGTAGGATATGGAGACTTTTAGAACGGATTGTGTAACTGAGAGAAGCTAAAATAACAAAAGGCATGCAGGGAGAGAAACAGCAACATGAATTAGATGTGTGATATCTCTAGATCCCTCACCAGTGTCTCGGTGAGCATGGGCAGGGCTAGTTGCTGGTGAAGCCAGGCATTGAAAAGTGGAATCAAAGTTATGGTCACAGCGAGTGCTGAGCGCCAGGAATGAAATGAAGAGTCATTTAGAAGGATGGGTGGAGGGGCTTCCCTGTTGGCTCAGTGGTAAAGAATCTGCCCACCAACGCAAGAGACTCAAGTGTGATCCCTGATCCAGGAAGATCCCACATGCCTCAGAGCGATGCAGCCCATTGGCCACCACTACTGAGCCTGTGCTCTAGAGCTGGGGAACCACAACTATGGAGCCCACGTGCTGCAACTCTTGAAGCTCAGCGCCCTCGAGCCTGTGCTCCGCAACAAAAGAAGCCACTGCTGCAAGAAGCCTGTGCAATGCAGAGTAGCCCCTGCTCACTGCAACTAGAGAAACGCCCGAGCAGCAAAGACCCAGCACAGCCAAAAACAAAGTGTTTGTTCCTCAGTCGTGTCCAACTCCTTGCATCATGGACTGTAGCCTGCCAGGCTCCTCTGTCCATGGAATTCTCCAGGCAAGAATACTGGAGTGGGTTGCCATTCCCTTCCCTAGAGGATCTTCCCCACCCAGGGATTGAACCCGTGTCTCTTGCATCTCCTACATTGCGGGTGTATTCTTTACCACTGAGCCACCAGGGAAAAGAAATAAATTTAAAAACTTGTTTAAAAAAAAAAGAAGAAGAAGGATGGGTAGAGAGTAACATTGGATCCTAACCAGTGTCTGCAACAGAGAGACGAAATAGAGGGATGGGATATTTCTGTCAAGCCTGGGATGATTCTGAGGCACCAATACACTAGGAAGAACCCATTTGTTTGATCATAGATGATCTGCATCATGATATGTGAGTCTCAATGACTTTATCAAGCATAGGATTTTGATCCACTATGGAGTACAGACATCTGCAAAGTGTGTTCTTGGAGGTGTTTTGGGGCAACCTCAGGAGCTGGAGAGGGAAGATCCAGGGGATGGCATTCTTGGTCCTTTCCTCCTTACCCCTTATCCTCTAGATAGTCCTGCATTGAGAATAATGTCACATGAAAAAAGCTTGAAAACCACTGCTGTAAGATACTAAAATTATTAAAAACCACTGATCTAGAAGGGTAAACACTGTCAATATTTTGAAACTGACCTCATAAAACATAATCAGATTGTGTCCAATGTCTAGCTAGAAGCCTATAGAGAATCTTTAAAAGTTTGCACAGAATTCTAAGACACACTGTAGCTACTTCAAATCTTAAGTTTCACTTGAAATTCTCAGAGATATTTCATGACATTAAAAGTACAAAATATTAGCAGCGGATCCAGATTTAGCATGGGATATGACAATTACCAAGGCATAGAAAGAATGCCCACTTCATAAGTCAGAAAAAACAGAAACTAGATGTAACTTTGCAAACCGTAAATCTGTTTTGTTGTTCAGTTGCTAAATTGTGTTTGACTCTTTGCAACCCCATGGACTGTAGCATACCAGGCTCTCTTCTACTTCACTATCTCCTGGAGTTTGCTCAGATTTATGTCCCTTGAGTTGGTGATACTATTAACCATCTCATCCTCCACCATCCTCTTCTCCTTTTGCCTCCAATCTTTCCCAGCATCAGGGTCTTTTCCAATGAATTGTCTCTTCACACCAGGTGGCCAAAGTATTGGAGCTTCAGCTTCAGCATCAGTCCTTCCAATGAATATTCAGGGTTGGTTTCCTTTAGGATTGACTGGTTTGATCTCCTTGCAGCCCAAGGGACTCTCAACAGTCTTCTCCAGTCCCACAATTCACAAGCATCAATTCTTTGGTGCTCAGCCTTCTTTATGGTCTAACTCACACATCCTTACGTGACTACTGGAAAAAGCAGAGCTTTGACTACACAGACCTTTGTTAGTAAAATGATGTCTCTGCCTTTGAACACATTGTCTAGGTTTGTTGTAGGTTTCTTTTCAAGGAGCAAGCATCTTTTAATTTCATGGCTGTAGTCACCATATGCAATGATTTCTTCCCTGGTGGCTCAGTGGTTATGAATCTGCCTGGAATGCAAAAGATGCATACAGGAGACTGAAGTTTGATCCCTGGGTTGGGAAGATCCCCTGGAGAAGGAAATGGCAACCCACTCCAGTATTCTTGCCTGAAAATTCCATGGCCGGAGAAGCCTGGCAGGCTACAGTCCATGAGGTCGCAAAAGAGTCAGCCACAACTTAACGACTAAACAATCCCAAGGCATTTTAAATTATAGTACACCAAATAAACATTAGTTTTGTTCCCTCTTCATTCTTCTTTCCTATAGTTATAACTGCTAGTCAGAGAGATTTTAATGTTTTGACAAAAATGTTTTACAGACCACAAACAATCGCAATTTTCCTCGTTGATAATTAAGAGTGCTTTGCACGGTTTCAGCACTTTTTTATGGTGTAGTCATTTATCATGGCTTCACACTACCCAGCCCTACACAGCAAGGACAGCCTGTTTACATGCCCGTTTTACTAATAAACATTTGTTTGTTATTCTTTATCAAGAGAAGAATGAATACAAGAAACCATAAGCCAAACAATCATAAAAAGACAAATTGTTCTCATAACAGTAGATACACAGTTTAACTATGTGTTCCAAGATGAAAGAATTGTCTATTGTTAAGAAGGAAAAATAACTTCACAGACTTGATTCTCATTTCTTAGGAAATGAAATCTCTAGATGGGCCTACTAATTACAAGAAGAAAAGGCATTTATAGCATTAAAACATTTTTATCATAGAAAAAAACTTACACATAACTCAAAAGTGAGAGTATATAATAATCTCCCTCATTCAGCTTAAACAATAATCAATATTTTGCCAATTTTCTTAATTATTCTCCTCTCCTAGAGGAGTATTAGAGTATTAGAAAGTAAATCCCAGGAGTTGTATTACTGGTAAATACTTCACTGTGCATCTTTAATAAGAAATGGAATTTTTAGAGAATATTGTACTCAGTCACTCAGTCATGTCCAACCCAATGGGCTGGAGCCCACCAGACTCTTCTGTCATTGGGATTTCACAGGCAAGAATACCAGAGTGGATTGCCATTTCCTACTCCAGCGGATGGGACACCACTGAACAACTGAACAACAACAACAACTCAAGGGGATCTTCCCTACCCAGGGATGGAATCCACATCTCCTGCATTGGCAAGCAGGTTCTTTACGACTGCACCACCTGCAAAGCCCTGACAGAGAACACAGCACAGTGCAATTGTCTATGAAACGCAATGTAATGAGCAATAACCCCTGAATATCATCTAGTACTGGCTACATTCAGATATATATATATAGACTCCATAATCAGTCCATATTTGGGTTTTCCAAATTGCCTCAAAAATGCCTTTTTACATATGGCTCTGTTAAGTTGAAATCCATACAGGGTCCACATATTATACTTGGTTGTTACAAATTAATATCTAATATCTCTAGTAATCTGCAATAATTCTTTCTTCTTTTTTTCCCTTGCCACTAATTTATTGAAGAAAACAGATCACCTATCATTTAAAAGGTCCCACATTCCATTTCCTTTAATTCCTTTCATTTATTCTGTTTCTTGTGTTTCCTGCAAGTGTGCAGGTAGATCTACAAACTTGATATTCAGGATTGCTTTTCCTTTTGTTCTCTGGTAACAAGAATACTGCAGAGCAGATGTTGGGTTCCTTCCAGTGCATTGTATCAGGAGGCACCCATGGTCTGCTTGACCCACTTTTAATGACTCTTGATTCCTACAGACATTAACTAATTGGTTATTAGTTTCATCCTACAATACCTATATAATGGTTTTGAAATAACTATACAAGAGGACTACTAACCATAGAACTATGGAAAGCAGTTTAAGAAAATTACTCAGTTCTTTCTGCTTTTAAGATGTATATATCCTACCTGGTATTTTCATTAAAATAATACTTTTTTGTTATTTAAAATAATAATTATTTGTGTTGATGGTCATCTTTTCTTTCTTTGCTATAATTATGCTTTTTCAATTATTTTTAACATTACATGATGGCAAAATCAAAGCAATAAAATGAGTATTCAGGGAAGTACTGCTTCCTTTCCAGCTTCTTTATCTACTGTATTCCACCCATTTCTCTAGGTAACCAATTTTAGTAGCTTTTAGTGTATCTCCCCATTGTTATTTTTGAAAAAAAATGTGAGCAAATACACTGTATCCCCCTTCCCTTTTACTTCTTACGCCGAAGTATCAGACTGCATATAGCCTTCTATTCTTGCTTGCAGAGAGAGCACTTTGTTACCAAACTTTAAATGAAAGATATGGACTTAAAAAAAAATCTTACTGATACAACAAACAAAGCTTAACTATGAA